GACCCGAACTCCGTATACGATTTGAACTTTGTGAAGAAGGCGAGCCCAAATTGCAGCAGGAAAACCAGGTTAGCCATATCTGAGTGGAACTTCGTCGGTTACGGAAAAGCTCATCTCAGAGAGAGGAACGGGTGAAAAAATACGCTCAAAGTTGTGACTACAGGCTTGAGTGGGCGAGGGGTTTCGGTCGAGATTCTGGAGAGAATAGTTGCGAGAGCGCCATCTCACTGGGTATGACAGTGCTATGCACTCATCGCACCGACATGCTTCGGTTTATTAACAGCCCCGTAACGGTCGTCAAGGGTTGGGAAAGGGATACGCAGTTCCGTGGCAGCTGGTTCTGGGTGAGATGGAGGTTGACACGGGAAGTCATGCAGATGTAGGCTCACGGATAAGTCCCCCTTCGTTAAAGGACCGTGTGAGTATAGATCGGGCACCAGCCAGATTGAATGAATAACAGTTCTAAGGGGCGTTTGGTCAACTGCAGCCGAGGTTTTAAGCTAGGGAACAGGGGCGACGAGAAAGAAATAGAATGAAAGCGGTAGCGCGTGGCGGGTGTTGTAAGGCATAAGATACAACGGCGGCAATAGAATAAAATAGAAAAGGGGATGACAGCGAGCTAAATGAACCCAAGAAAGCTGAATACGTTTACTGATCTAGAAGCCAAGTGCTAAATGGGCCAGAGTAGGTGCCTAGACTTAGGAAGGTAAAAATTTGTCGTCGAGGTAGCTAGCAGGGGTGCTAGCTGTTGGACTAGTTGAGAACAGGCAGTGGTTTTTGGCTTACCAAAGCATCATAGCCTAGGGTCCTTGTTGTGCAGAAATACGGGTTATTATAAGCAGTGACAGTAGATAAGTAAAAAGCAACAGCTTTCGAGATGATTGATAAGAATCGTAGCTTAACTGAGGTCTACCACGTCAACCCAACAGGAAAGTAAGTTTAAGGAGCACCAGCCGCCAAGTCAATTTTGCTAACTCCGGAAAACGAATGGTGCATGTCAAAAAACAGCCATTAAGTGCTAGCTGTGACTGCTTGTAATCAGGAAATGATAAGTTATTAGCATTTTGTGTATATGATCGCTCTAGATGACAAGAAAGAAGAACGTGTGTGCTATGTTTGGATGACGAAGTGGGCCAGGGGTGGTTTGACCCAACTAAGAGGAAAGAGGCAACACCTTTCACCCCGACGTTAGCCGTGGGCCTCACATGGTACTATCAGGCTAACCCATGCATAAATGTTTTTTGGAACAACCGGAAGGACAGCTTTCGTCCGCTTGTATTTCTTGGTGTAGTGGGACACGTGATAAACGGAACAAGGCCATTCCAGCTACAGACAAACAGCAACGGTGCTCATTTTTGGTTTTCCTGAATAGAAGGCCGGGCTCAGAACCACTGAACTACCAAAAGACTGTTTAAGCTTTGGGGTAACCAAAGGAACGGTACACTGATAGATGAGCGTCATGTTCCTCCCTCCCCGAAAAACAGTGACTTAAGCTGTGAGGCCCAAGTGCTGGTCGATGGAATATTCATCGGTTTTAGCGAGGCCGCATTAACAGCATTCTGATGTTTCGATCTGGAAAGCAGTCAGCGGAATATATGCTCCGTCGGTTAGTATGGAGTTGGATTATTTTTGGGGCTTCTGTGCACAGGTTTCAGTTTCATGTTTGTCGTACGACAACCGAGGTGCCTGAAAATCTTATTTGTGTCAACAGGCGCAACACCGCCGCTAAAAATATTGCTGAAATCAACAGCAACGGTGTCAATACCAACGTCCGCGGCGCTGAAAAACATACAGAAAAGGCTGGACGCTTTACGGATTAGAAGGAACTCCTGAAATAAATCTCGGATATTAGTTGACAACGTGGCCACGCGAACATATATGCGGACCCGGTAGTGAGTTTTGCACTGACTCGGACTAGCGCCTTGGGCTGATTTACATTTGGATAAGAAATTACGCAGCTGTTTCCCTACATCAAACCCACGGGTGGTATCACTTTAATACACCTTGTTCTGGGGGCCCTACCCACGGAAGCTTATTCGAAGTATACCGAGACCTAGAAGAGTGGTGTATACCCTTCCACACCAGGAACATTCTGACAAACAGGGGCTGCTGAGCGGCGAGGATGAAGCCCTTGCTAGAAATCGG